ATAGGCATGACCGACCACAGCACTATCACTGCACAAATAAAGATTGGAGTAACCAAATCCAAACCTATAAAAAAAACTATTTGGAAATACAACGAAGTCAACTTAGAAAATCTGAACAACGCAATCAGGAACACAAACTGGTTACATATTTTAAATGAGAATATAGACTTAGATTTGGCTACCTCTAACTTTATGAATAAACTCATGGATATATACAAATCCAGAATTCCAAATAAAATTATAACTGTTCGGTCAAATGATCAGCCATGGATCACCAGTACACTTAAAAAAGAACTATCGAAGAAGAAAACACTTTACAAGAAATTTTCCAAATCTCCCTCTCAACTTAATAAATAAATATATGACCAACAGGCAACTAAAGTTGCCCAACTTGTTGAACAAGCCAAAATAGATCACGAAAAAAAAACCTTATCATCAATTGACCAGCTAAATAAGTCCGATAAAAATTATTGGAGAATCATCAAATCATTTTTAGGCACAAATTTGACGAAAAACAGCATATCTAGCATTTATGATGAAATTACTGGACACGCACTTTCAAATAACCTTGATATTGCAAACAAATTCATGAACTATTTTGCTTCTAAAAACCATACAGATGCCTGTTTTGACCATTTGCCTCTATTCCCTATGAGGACAAATTCTTTACTCATTTCCGCTAAGACTGACCAATTTGAAATTATGAAAATAATTCTCTCCTTAGATACCTCCAAAGCATGCGGGCCAGATAATATCACTAACAAAATGTTGAACCTTACAGCTCATACCATTTCAAAACCTCTTACCATATTATTTAATAAACTTCTAACTAAATGCACTTATCCAGATATTTGGAAAATAGGCAATGTTTGTCCAATCTTTAAAAAAAATGATAAATCAAATGTTAATAACTACAGACCTATCACCTTGCTAAGCTCCATATCCAAAGTTTTTGAAAAGGTTCTTGCTGACAGAATCAGAAAACACTTACTTGATAATGATCTTCTTTTTAAGTATCAGTCCGGATTTTTACCTGGTCATAGCACCATTCATCAACTTTTATCTATCGAGCATTTTCTTCAAACTACTTTTGAACAAGGACAAGCCTCCAAAACAATATTTTTGGACGTAGCCGCCGCTTTTGACCGGGTTCCGCACTCGTTACTCCTCCATAAACTCAAGGCGTATGGTTTTCAAGGTCAAATCCTTAAAATGATCACATCTTATCTTACCAACAGGAAAATTGCTGTTCAAATTTCTGGTGAGACCTCCAATTACTCAGAAACTAATTTTATAAACTGCGGTGTCCCACAGGGCTCAATACTAGGGCCAATACTTTTTCTAATATATATTAATGACCTTCCAGACAATCTGGATGGCCATTGCTACATTTATGCAGATGATACCTCATTACACCATCCTTTTGACCCAAAACAACCACAACAAATAGAAGCAGTGGTAAAATCCAATCTAATTAAAGTAGAAGAATGGTCTAACACTTGGAAACTTGATTTTAAACCGGAGAAGAGTTCCGAGATGATTTTTCACTCACCTAGAACAAAAACTGATAATGTGTCAACTTCAAAACTAAACAATATAGAAATCAAAAGAGATACCGAGCACAAACATTTAGGACTCATTTTTGACCCATGTTTATCTTATGATAAGCATATTGGTGATTTACTAGTCAAAATAAGAAAAATGTTAAACCCATTAAAGAAACTCAAATTCAAGCTTGGGAGCAAGCACCTAGAAACAATCTTCAAATCATTCATTCTTCCTCACTTTGATTATGGTGCCATTTTATATGGCACAGCTTCTAAATTTCTTTTGCGAAGACTCGATAGTCTATATTACACAGCGGCACTCTATTGTTCTGGCTGCATCCAAGGGAGCAGTACAGAAAAGGTCCTAAGTCTCCTAAACTGGCCAACACTTGAATCTAGACGTAGAATACAATCAAATAATTTTATGTTCAAAGTTGCCAATGGTACAAGACCCTCATATATCACAGACATTTTTGATAAGTATAGTAATGTTAGGAATAGAAACTTGAGATACATTGATCCATTCAAAATGCCCATAAGATGCTCTGCTAGATTCTCATCCTCAGCAATACCTTCTGCAATCTCAAAATGGCTAGAGCTCCCCCCTTCTATTAAAACCAAGAAAACTCTTCATAATTTCAAAAAACACCAACGGCTTTTCCTCCAAAACCCCTCTAAAATTTTGACCACAAGTCAACTCAATCTTTCTAGACAGCATGAGATAGTGGTGAATAAAGTAAGAGCTGACTTATTTTTTAAAGCTCAATTTTATGCCCATAATTTTAACTCTGTTGACAGCCCTAATTGTGCTTGTGGCAGCTCTCAAACCTTAAAGCATATTCTTTTCCAGTGCAATCGCTTAACCTTAGTAAGACAGGATCTCTGGGATAAACTTGCTGAATTAGAACCTTCTCTCAATAATAATCTTCCCCAGTACGATTTTATATCCATTTTGAAAACAGGAAGCCCAAACTTAAGCATAGATGTAAACTCTAAAGCCATTTCACTGATACTTGACTTCATTATAGACAATAGCTAATTCCCTCCCTCATGTCTCTCTTTCTGATATCCTGTTGTCCTGTCACACCTGCTCCGGTCCGGGACCCTGTCTGCCTGCCACCCCCAGCCTCTCACCATTCCTATATAATGCCCTCTGGCGATTTAGGGATGTTATTGTAATTGTATTTAAACTATATCAATGAAATAAATAAATAATAATAAAAACAATTTCAAGTTTGACAGTGAAATTATACATATAAAGTAAAATAAAAAAGACGTACTAGATTTACAACGAGGGAGTTGTGGGTAGGTCCAGACGCCGTTACTGCATAGGTTTGTCACTGTCATCCGATCGTTAGTTCCTCGATTTGCCAAGTCAAGTTCGTAGCCAACGTCACACATTACTACTTGAAACGCAGTCCATTCTGCATTTATGACATTGAAAGCCATTTCAAAAGCATTGTTTGGTATTGCTGGTTTCATTGACGTACATTTATTGCTAGATCTCCGCTCTATATGCCCGTTTCCCTCGCCTGTAACATAATTTCATTAAAGATCATCAGATCCAGAAACTTTTGAGAAAAATTATTTCAATTTCAGGATACGCATTGCATAAAAGTCCATCGACCTTGATGTTTTAGAGTCAAGGAAGCTGAGAAATATAAAAAACATTAAGCAAAAATACAACATTATACAATACCATCGCTGAAGTAGAGCTTGGTCCACAGAATGATGGAAAGTATAAATTGAATCCTTTTGTACTTGGTATTGCACATCTTTGTTTTTCTTGTCTCTAAGAACAACTGACGGAGTCTAATAGGAAAATCACATATATTTTGACGTCACAATATTAATATTTTCCAAACATAACTCTACATTTATGACGTCATTTTATGACGTTGTATTCTTTTTATCCTTGCTAGTAACCGAGGAAAATATTGTTTATATCTCTGCTGTTTATGTTTATGTGATGTAGTGTGATAAGAAAATTTGAATATATGTTGACGTCACAATTCCCATTCTAATTTCAAGTAACTCTAGGCTTTATATGACGTCATTTTATACGACAACGTCGTATTCTCGCAATATCATTCGAGTAAAAGTATGGCTCAAAACGATCAGTAAGGTACTTTTAGATATCCACAGCAATTGGATGACGATACCAAACCTGGTACCTTCTTAAACTACATCCATATCAAAATCTTTGGGCAAAATTGTTTAAAATATTTCGAGACATCCACATTTTCTTAAACTTTCTAAAATCAATAGTGAAGTAACGATGTGACATCACAGGTGGTTTATAGGCAGCTTCGGGTATGACGTTTTCAATTATCGGAGACAGACATAGAACAATAGGAGACATGAGTTGCCATTCCCGTGGTTTAGTGTTCCCAGATTTAACATGCATCTATTCTCTATGGTACAAAAAAGGAGAGCTCTACCAAATACCCATACACATTTTCTTAAACGTTCGGTGTGAGTACCGTAATCCAACATGAAATTCAAAAATTCCGAACAATAGTTTGTACATATGGCGTTCATGGCCAACTATGAAACGCTAACCCCCATAGTGTTATTTATCAAAATGTATCTGTTCATAAAGGGGTTAGATTATTCTACATCAAATTATAGAGAGTCGTGTTACTTTCCAAGATATAATTAACGTCCATTTATTGGTTATAAATACATAAACTGTTGAATATTTGTATCGACGTGCAAGGTCTTAATGATTCGTTTCTTTTTTAATTCAATTTATTAATGATTTTTGGTCAGTGCTTTACTGAATAGATATCCTGAAATCTGATTTGCCCCAAACCAACCATTTCGCATTAGTTAACACGAGAATGACGGAGATTCATTAGATTTTTCATCAATTTCCTACCTACCATAATTGAGAAAAAATTTGGAAAATTCGGAGACATAGTGAATAAAGTCAAATTAAATCTTCACCTTAAACATGAGTATTTTCATTCAGGATATGTAAATAAAAAATTAAACAGAAAGGGGCTTAAACAAGTAGTCTAAAAACAACCAAATAGGGAGCAGCTAAGGCCGTCACACTTTTTGAGAGATTCGTGCGTGTTTGTGGGGATAGTTAAAACTCTTACGTAGGCTTTTACTTCCTTGACATCATTTCGAGTTTGAGTTTGTTTGACGGCCTTACTAAGTATTGAAGACAACTACTCGATGACGACACAATATAGAAAAAATGACGAAACTGAGAAAACACATTTATTCATATTATATAGTATTGCATGTTTCCATAGCAGCAATTTTTATCAAAATGTGAATATTATTTAATAAATTGTCCTAAAATCCTCGTCTCCCTCTCCCTCTCGCTCTCCCTAATCCTCGTCCACGACCTCGTCCACGAAAACCACCTATAAACGGCTGGTCTTCTGCATCGGAATCGACATCACTCGCATCTGAACCATTAAGACCATCAATTCCATCCTGTTGATCTGCTTCTTTTTGAGATTTGGCTGCCCCCAATTTCCTTCTTATCATGAAAATCGCACCACAGATCACAATTAATACCGCAATTAGTATACCTCCAACGATTGGACCTGTCTTTGCTGAAAATATTATCAAACTTAAGAATGCGAAGAAAGTAGTTCGTACATCATAAGTGGATTGATTTCAAAATCATAGGGAATACGGTCATTGTAAAAAGAGTCAATTGTATAGTTCCTCGTATTTCCATTGAAGAGTATTGAAGAAACTTGAATGTAAATTGTATATAAAAAAATGTGTACTACAAATAACCCTTTATGCAAACTTGGAAGGCTCTTCTATAACGATTTTAATTTGAAGCTGGAAGATCAAACAATTTTCCATTTGAGCCACTAATACGCGACATAAATTAAAATTTCCAGTAAGGACTACCCCGGAGTAATGAACATTTCATTCAAAGTTAATAGATTCGGTACAGAAAATATATATACCCGTAATGTGTTTGAACAAGCTTTCCAATGGCACAATTGATTTGATAATTTCATTGATGTATATCAAACGACAAGAAGGGAGGCGAGGGGTGATTTGACCATATCTTTACGACTTTTGTGTAATGACTGCATAACAAAGTTATACCTGCTGTGCTTCCGGGGTTAACATTCCCTGGAGGGGGCTTTGTCCCAGCAGGTTGGGTTTTTCCAGTTGTAGGGTTATTTCCAGCAGTTGGTTTAATTCCAGCAGGTGCTCTATCTGTGGTTGGATTGTTACTACCAACAGTAGGTTGATTATTTCCAGCAGGTTGGTTATTTCCAGCAGGTGCGTTATTTTCAGTAGATGGGTTATTTTCAGCAGGTTGGTCTGAAGTTGGAGGGTTACTGCTTCCAGGTTGGTTATTTCCAACAGATGGGCTAATTCCAGCAGGAGAGTTATTGACAGCAGGGGGTGTGTTAGTTTCAGCAGGTTTGTTGTCTGTAGTTGGAGGGTTACTGACAACAGGTTGGTTACCTTCAGTGGGCGGACTGCTTGCTTCGGTCGTTGGCGGTGTTTGAGCTATAACATAAGGGAGCTATATGTTTCAAAGCACGTTAAATATGATGTTGTTATATAAAAATGACCCACAAAGATCCCCCTCTCAACTATTATTTTTATATTATCTTTAAACTAAACGAGACCAGTAGACACTATGAATTTGGGGGGGGGAGGGTGATCACCCGAGGGCCATAATCACTGGTCCCCACCTGGTTAAAGGCGTTACGTTTAAGTAAATGTAAGGTTGTCATTTTCATCATTTTCACCAACAATGAAGTTGATTTGTACAAATATTTCACCCGTATGTCAATAATTACTTCCGGTTATTGAAAAGTTGTCAGTCATGAGCAACTACATCCAGTAGCTCCAATAATCGAGGGAAAATTTCCTCATTTTAACATAATTTTCACAACGTCTTGGTTTGGGTTTCTCACTCGATTATCGGACCCATTAGATGTCGTTACTGATACGTGTACACAAAGTTCCATTGATGATTTGTATCTGATGATGCTCTAACTTCAATACTTCTAGTTAAGAACTGGACAATTACTTGAAGGGCATGGCCAACTTTGTCTTGTCGTAGAGGTAAGCTTTGAGGGGTCGCAAGGTCCACTGCCTGGGGCTGGGCTTCTTGATCGGATGCATTGGATATTATTTCCACAACTCGGCGAACATTGATATGGACCCCATTCATCGAGTACACATCTTACTGAAAAGAGAATGAATATTTTATTTGTAAATTATATATTTTCCTTGATGTTTTATATGTCACTAGAAAGGTAAATGTATGGAATCTGATACACAGTGGATATCAGTCATATTTAAAACATATTGCAATCACTTCGCAGAAGTAGAAGAGGGTATTTTCTCATGTAATATTTGTCCGAAGCATACTTTTCCGATTTTGTTGCATTTGTACGTGTAAATCTCAATAAGAAATAAAACAGTTCATAGGAATAAAAATATATATATTCATAAGCAATACGCGTATCTTACCCTGACACGTTTTTCCACCTGTATGTGTACAGTCTTTAGATCTTGTTTCGATATCCTCCGAACAAACATTTGGAAAATTGACAGAATCGCATCTTCGGTACTGAAACTTTTTGAAAGCACCACTCGTAGTATCACATATGCATTCAAACCAAGGCGACCAATTCGACCATCCATCACTTCCTAAATAAGAAAATTAAGAAATTTAAAAATGGGATTCTTGGAATAAAGGAGTTTGGAATTTTATAATTTAGATTGTCAACACAAGAGTTTTATCAAAATTTAATTTTTTTCACGTCCTAAATTGCACCGCATGACCAAAACACAAGTCGCCATGGCAACCATAACATTTCATCAATCAGTAAAAATAAATTTATTTTTTGTCTCTTAATGCGTAAAGATTTTTGTATGAGTTTAAGGGAAAAAATTGAAAAATAAACAATAAGAGCATTTTTGCATTAACTTATTGAACGACCTGGTATTATATCTGCCCGGTTAAACAGATCATTCTATATTCGTTTCAGGATATTGGGATTATCCGTCGGCCAATGTGATGTATTTGCCTTCGGGATCTAGGCCCTTTGACCAGATATATTATATTGGTCTTTGGTCGGCATAATCCCAATATCATGAACCTCACATAGGATAATCTCTACATATCATGTTGCTCATGTATACCATATACAATTACAACGCCACCCTATTATAGAAAAAGTGGTTATTCACCAGGAGGGACATTATATGGGGAATGTCAAAGATGATATCAATATTTTCAGATGGAACGTAGTGATCAAGTTTTTTTCTATACATTATTAACAAATAATTATAAAATTGCATGTACACACATAGATTAGAAAAACATGTATAGAGTCAAATACAATAAAATATTACGTAACACATATAACATAATATAATACGGGGCTAAAACTAGAGAATTTTTCTTTTACAATGTATGATAATGTAATATGGGGCTAACTCACACACCACATTACAAAGCGAGTTTCGTTGCATTGAACGATAAAAGAGTAGGTTCTTATTATAAGTTGCACTTCGGCTAAGAATTTGAGAAATAATGTAGATGTACATGATGTATATACTCACCAATAACAAATATATATACAGCATCACTGATACCCTGTTCTTTTTCTGTAACAATGTAAAGACCCGGTGTATTCGTCAAGTCAGCTTTATTTGTAATCTTAACTCTCACACTGAAAAATAGGATTCTTTAATAACAATAGTAGTATGTACAAAATATGTATTATTGGTTTTGTATATTTTGTGACGAATTTTGTATAAATAGGTCAGTCATTGTTAGTACTGATTATGTATGGTTATGAGTGCGGTATTGAATTTGATGGGGGGTTCTCAAAGACTTTCAATAAGTTTTCATGATTTCGAACATCACCATGAGTACTGATAGTCAAACAATGCAACAATATAGAGATTTTCCAACTCACTTATAACATGTTTATTATTCCCGTAGAACACATAACTTATAAAGCGTTTGATTAGGTTATCATTTATGCCACAGCTCTATACGTCCATAAGTGTGATATTCTTTTAAATCGCTGTCTGTAAGCTTACGTGGGAATATCACACGTATGGACGTATAGAGCTGCGCAATAAACGATGACGTATTATATTATTTGAAGAAACCGGCAAATGACAAGAAATGTCAAGTAGTTAGAACTCACCCTTGACCTTGACTGAAGCTGCAGTCAAGTTTGGGATCGGAAACTTCATATGTTATTCTCCCTGTTTTCAAATCTTTTGTAATGGTCTTCTTATTATGAAATGCGCGTCCATTTCCATCACACGATATACCACGCGCTTGTTGCTTATCTTGATCCAGTTTAAGAACGCTTAGACGTATAATTGTTTTTGCCCACTCTTCATTTCTTAATCGTAATTCTCCATTGAATATAACTTCACTCGCAAAGGATCGACGCAAAGCCGCAGGTCCATAGACATATTTTAGGTAATCAGAACTTGGTAGGACACCCTGGAGTCTCAAACAAGTTTTTTTAAAAACAATATGCCACAAACAAGATGGTTACTGCTTTAACATTTACTTAGTAGTTTTTCAATTTAAACAAAATAGGTTTAAAATGTGGTCGATTGAAACTGAGGAACAGTGATTAACAAGGCATTAACATGACAAAATGTCACCACCTAAAACAATTTGGTCAATTTAAAGCAAGTTGGAAAATACCTTTTGACCTTAAGAAGGTTTGATTTGAACTTCTTAAAACATGTAGATGATTTTGAAAAAAGAATTCGTCAATTTGAAGCAAGTTGAAAAAATACCTCTTTGACTTTTTCTGACATTGAGAAGGTCATTGAAGGTCAAATGTCAAATGTAAAGTCAGATTTGAACTTCTGAGAACATGTAGATGATTTTGAAAAAAAAAATAAGTAAATTTGAAGCAAGTTGAAAAAAGACCTTTTTGACCTTGAAAAGGTCATTGAAGGTCAAATGTCAAATGTAAAGTCAGATTTGAACTTCTGAGAACATGTAGATGATTTTGAAAAAAAAATTAGTCAATTTGAAGCAAGTTGAAAAAAGACCTTTTTGACCTTGAGAAGGTCATTGAAGGTCAAAGGTCAAATCTAAAGTCAGATTTGAACTTCTGAGAACTTGTAAACGTCAAATTTGAACTTCTGAAAAGATGTAGACGATTTTGAAAAAAAAATTTCGTCAATTTGAAGCAAGTTGAAAAAAGACCTTTTTGACCTTTTTTGACCTTGAGAAGGACATTGAAGGTCAAATGTCAAATCTTAAATCAAATCTAAAGTCATATTTGAATTTCTGAGAACATGTAGATGATTTTGAAAAAAAAATTTAGTCAATTTGAAGCAAGATGAAAAAAGACCTTTTTGACCTTTTTTGACATTAAGAAGGTCAAATGTCAAATCTAAAGTCAGATTTGAATTTCTGAGAACATGTAGATGATTTTGAAAAAAAAATTTAGTCAATTAGAAGCAAGTTGAAAAAAGACCTTTTTGACCTTTTTTGACTTTGAGAAGGTCATTGAAGGTCAAATGTCAAATCTTAAGCCAAATCTAAAGTCAGATTTGAATTTCTGAGAACACGTAGATGATTTTTAAAATTCTTTTTAGTCAATTTGAAGCAAGTTCAAAACAGACCTTTTTGACCTTTTTTGACCTTGAGAAGGTCATTGAAGGTCAAATGTCAAATCTAAAGTCAGATTTGAATTTCTGAGAACATGTAGATGATTTTGAAAAAAAAATTTAGTCAATTTGAAGCAAGTTGAAAAAAGACCTTTTTGACCTTTTTTTGACTTTGAGAAGGTCATTGAAGGTCAAATGTCAAATCTTCAGTCAAATCTAAAGTCAGATTTGAATTTCTGAGAACACATAGATGATTTTGAAAAAAAAATTTAGTCAATTTGAAGCAAGTTGAAAACAGATCTTTTTGACCTTTTTTGACCTTGAGAAGGTCATTGAAGGTCAAATGTCAAATCTAAAGTCAGATTTGAAGGTCAAATGTCAAATCTAAAGTCAAATCTAAAGTCAGATTTGAATTTCTGAGAACATGTAGATGATTTTGAAAAAAAATTTAGTCAATGTGAAGCAAGTTGAAAAAAGACCTTTTTGACCTTGAGAAGGTCATTGAAGGTCAAATGTCAAATCTAAAGTCAGATTTGAACTTCTGAGAACATGTAGATGATTTAGAAAAAAATTGAAGTCAGTCTAAACAGTATTTGTTAAGTTATAGGAAGTTGTAAGAAATTGTTACAGACGCCGGACGCCAACCACCAACCGCCGGACGCCGGACGCCAACCACCAACCGCCGTCGCAAAAAAAACGGAGACCATAACAATATGTCACCACTTTTGGTGGTGACATAATAGACTAGATGCGAGTAAAAATAATCTTGATTTACGTCATTAAAAATTAAAGATTCAGTCAGTGACATCATATTTGAAATCAACATGTAAAATTACATCTAGAAATGTAGTTTTCAAAAATGTTTATCAACTTTGAAAATTTAATTTTCTTTGAAAAAGTGACTTCTTGGTCAGGGGGATTCCCCATAGACCCTATGTTGTAGAATCACAAAAAGTGAATATATTTTCTTATCCCACGATTAATGTGTTATCTGTATAATAACAGCTATTGATATTTCTGATATCATTGAAATCCGTGTGATATTTTCCAGAAAATCGTTTATCAAACTCATATGCGTGTGATATCGTTTATCTCACGCATATCCGTGTGATATCACATTTGCATTTCGCGCCACAATATTGTTGGAAATTAGGTCAGATAATTTATTCTCTTTTGAGAAAATAGGTCCGTTAATCTATTCTCTTCAAGTTTCATTGGTGTATTAAATTACGATTGTGTATATAATTTGATTAGAAGGCTGCTAAATAACGATTAAAAATTGTATTTATGACGAACTATATCACAAGGTGATCGTAATCATGGGATAAACCCAATATCACATAATTTCTCGTGATATCATTTTATGGCCTCGTAGATATCAAATATCAACACTCATTCGCTTCGCTCACTCGTGTTGATATTTGATATTAACTCGGCGATAAAAATGATATCACTCAAAATGATGTGATATTCTGTATTTATATTGAACAGACATGAAGAAGAAGAAGTCTTTTACTGGACATATTTTGATTTGTATCAGATAAAGTATCAAATACATAAGGGTGATATGAAAATTGAACCAATTGAATTAAAACCACTGATGGATATTCAAGTTTCAGGGAATTTTCTAAAACCCTGCCCCGAATCAGCCACCTGATAGTGAAAATGGTAACTACATGAACATGGATCAAGTGTAATATCCAGTTATGCCGTGGTCACATTTGCTTCGATTTTTACTACGGCGCCCAGCCGATTCGAAATTGTATTCAATTTTGAACAAAAAAATACTCATCGGCCGGGCGCCTTTGCTGAAAATCGGAGCAAATGTGACCACGGCATAACTGACAACTAATACAAAACGCTATGGTAATAATAAGGTTTCATATAAACTAATAAACAACTAAAACAATCAAGCAAGCAAGTAACTATTTAATTCATGTAAATATCTCACCTTAATCCCAAGCGAAATTTGTTGATTTTCTCGGAAAAGTTGTACCCTGTGGTTTCTATTTGCACGAACCTCTCTGTAACCCCAACCATTTGGAACTACATGTACAAAAACATGTTAGATAGTATTTTAATTGATTGTAAACAGAGAGATTATGATTCATAAAACAATATATAACGAATATACACATATAAGTAAATGCTTATCTTTTGAGGCCAATCTATTCACTTTTATTTATGCTATATATGATTTATCAGTTTTTCAAGTTTAACAAATTGACATTGGGCATAATGCATTTCGGTATAAAACACATTGGCAACGAAACCGGTTCTATTGAACACATTGACATTGGATCCCGGACACATTGGACATATCGCTATTAATTTATGTAATTATAACGTTTACCTTTCTCACAGATGAAGTGAGTATACAGATCGTTGTTTAACCACCTAAATTGATTATTAAGCTTTCTGAATACGTAGTTGTAGTCAGTTGATCCAAGCATCGCCACTGTGTCGCGAGGCAGTCCAGCTGGGTTCCGATCATTACCATGTATGTCACCTCCAATGAGCCATGGAATCGTCCAGCCATAACTACTCAAACGCTTGTTCATATTGTTCAACCAGTAAAAGTGATCAGACTATAAAGACGAGCATTAATATGAGTTCAAAACCAGTAATTGCAACCATTGAACGTAATGACATGTCAGGGGTGTTTCCAGCTGTCAGTCAGGGGGGGGGGGGTCACGTGGTGCGATCACCATAACATTTCGGGTTGGGATTGTGGATAAACAAGCCAAAAAATAAAATTTATTTTGAATTTAACAAAAAATGATGCATCTTCCTTTAGAATTGAGGTAGAATCTTCAAATAAAAACATTTCTTCTTCATGGTTCTTTTTTAATTGATTATGAGGGGGGTGCGATCGCACCCATGACACCCCCAGGCAAGCTTAAATAGTGCTTAATAAAACCACATGTGATTTCATTTTCCGTTACAATAAGTTCAATACTGTTCACCCTCAATGTGTGTGGCATTCGATGTCAGACAACCCAACACCTTTCTTGCCACATATTACTTGATCTCAGGGAGCATCTAGCACTCGATTTTGCAGGGATACAAAATTTTTCTGAGCTAAGACAAGTTTAATAAAATTATAACATATATTGAAATAATGAATATATTTATTCAATAAATAACTTACATTTCTATTCGTTAGTCCAATCCAATAAAGCCAGCCACTTGCGAAATTCAAATGAATACCACCTGCCCGGTACGTCTTTTTAAGCCACTCCCTTACAAGCTTGTATTCTTTCTCGGTCTCGAACTGTACAAGTTCCGCATCAACAGCTCGACATGAATCACGACTATGGGTCCAATTTCTTGCAAGTCCTCCGAAATAACAGTGATCGGGCTCGAGCTCATACCAATGTTTTCCACCACATGTCGTCCCTTGAACATATTATGGACTTATAACACTACTGTATTTTAGATTTATGCTGCATTTAAGCATTGGTAAGCTTCATTTTCACTGCATTTTAGCATCTAGAACACTACAATTTACAGAGATCGTCATCCATTCATTCAACTAACTCACTTGATCTACAACTTGGTAGTTGTGGATAGGTCCAAACGCCGTCACTGCATAGGTTTGTTACCGTCATCCGATCTGTAATCCCTCGACTTGTCAAATCAAGTTCGTAGCCAACGTCACACATTACTACTTGAAACGCAGTCCCTTTTGCATTGTCGCTCCTGTAAGCCACTTCCAAAGCATTCTTTGGTATTGCTGGTTTCATTGAAGTACATGTGTTGCTAGATCTCCGCACTATCTGACCGTTTCTCTCTCCTGTAAAAAAACAAAACCACAACATATTTAGGTCTCTCAATATTGAAATTGTACAAAGGAAATTTTGGTTGATTTTAAAACATATCTTGTGAATGAAATAATTGGTTTATCTTGATTTTTATCTATTTTCTTTTTTTTGGGGGGGGGTTGTTTTAATTCTTTAATACTTTTTTGATATCAACCAAAAATTCCTTTGTATAACTATAACATTGAGAGGTCTAAGAAAATATTGTATGCTATTATGGTCCAACAAGGTTCGGAAATACATTTTATTTCATTCTCAAGAATTGGTAGAAAGGAGCAAAAATAATTGCACTACAAAAACAAAAACTGTTAACAAAAACAGTTACATAAAATATTTCTAAATTATTTTCGCATTAAATTGTCAACATTGCATAAATCACTGTGTTTTTACAGAATGATTTCAAAAATTGGTTTAAGAGAAAACATTGTTGAATTCAGTTCACCATATCAATACCTATCCTTTATCCGGGTAAAATCTAGAATCTACGAATTCACTGACTTATACCACTGGCCTATAGTTCAGATTATTTTTATATGCACGTACATATATGTACTTTTTTTGAAAAATCAGATAGCGTACATGCGTTTGGAGCTGTTCCATTGGAACACCCTTTCAAAGCCCCAAGAACACAACGACCAGGTGACTTGACAGGCCAAGTGAAAAAAATGTATGTTCATACGAACTGCAGAATAGTCTACCATATTTAAAAACGCGTAAATTATCAAAAATAAAGCGATAAATGCAAAATTATACAATACCATCACTGAAGTAGAGTTTGGTCAACAGAATGATGGAAAATATAATTTGAAGCCGTTTGTACTTCATTTTGTATATCTTTGTTGTTCTTGTTCCTAGGAACAAATCACGTTGAGAATGGAAAAACCACATATATTTCAACGTCATAATAATGCTTATTCCAATTCCAAGTAACACTACCAACTTGATGTATGACGTCATTTTTTACATGACAACTTGCATCCTTTTACGCTTGTTAGTAACCGAGGAAATTAAAAGGTATGGGTCAAAAGGCGGGAAAGTACTTTTTAAATATGGCAAAGGAATAGTAATGGCGACGGCAAATCTGTTTTTCTGGTGGAAAATTCAAGTTTTCGAACAAATTTAGATCTTTGTGCGCATAATGGATACAGTGCCATTGACGATGAGCTCTCTTAAATTTTCTTCACTTATTGTTTTCTATTTGAAAGGCACTCCACTTTTTATTACGAGCACTTTTTAATCTTGAAGTAAGAAATATAGACCGAAGAGCAGGGGTACGACCGAAGGTAGTGAGAGGTTCGAAAGCATTTGTTCGAACATGAAAACTCACCAAAATGTTTCGAATATTCATTATGGTCCGCCATTCCTACGGTCCGCCGTTATGACGCCACACATCATACGTATCACCAGGGGCAATGTTCGCGAATATACCCCGGGTGAAATGTTGACTTTGTTTACAGTTTATAGAAGGTGTGAATACAGTCATGTTCGAATTGATATTTAAGTATAACAGAATGTATCAAAGGATCATAAAATCGACCGTAATATATTTATATGAATATTAGCGATCTTATTATGAGAAATATAAGATCGGGATTTACCTTGAGCTTGACATGGTGAACATAGCTTTAACAAACGTATGATTCTCACAAAAATGTATTTTTAAGTCAATCCAACCCGTCATCGTGTCTCCACATAAATGTAATTCAACTAAAGGCCCGGTCACACCGCCTAAACGTTGCTGGAGCGTTCCTTGAACGTTGAAAATAATCATCAACGCTCGTAAACGTTCACCACCGTTTAACAAAAGTTGGCATCCGTTAAAGCAACGCTGTAAACGCTCGGCCAACGCGGATATTTCTCGAGTGGCCATCCTAACGCTCCAAAAGTTTTGAGCTGCTCAAAATATTGCGAGCGTTGAAAAAGGGACAATTTTACGCCCTGGCAAAGTTTATCACCGTTCCACCAACGCCCAGTCAAAGTTTGGCACCGCTAGACGCAAGTTCGTGGACGCTTGAATCCGCTAGACCAACGCAGAAATCTTAAACGCTGGACCACCGCTGCTTCGCCAGCGTTGCCCGGGCGGCGATTAAACGTTGCACAAACGTCGGTGGAGCGGTTGTTAGCGTTTTATCAGCGCACATGGGGTTGTTGGAACGGTGTCGGACGTTGTCGCAGCGTTCCATGGCGGCGATGAACTTTGCTTTGGCGTTGGTATAGAGGTGTCGGAGCGGGACCAGAATTTGGCTATAAATACGTGGAGAAATGCACCACTGTGTAGAACACTGTGGAGACACTTGTGCATTTTACATTTTGATATATTCATGTCTGGCATTTCAATTTTTTGCATTGTAAATTCCTAAATTAAGCGCTCAAAGTTTGTGATTTTGAATTTTTAAAAGGTGAATTATGCGATTTTTGTTTTTCATTAAATGTTAATACAAATAGACTTTTACTGAGACCTTTATTCAAATATAGTATAATTATACCTAGTGTTTTCATGTCAAGCAATTCAATAAATTTTCTGCGCAGCTTGTAAAATGTTGCATTCGTCATGGTATTATACAAAAAGTTGATGCGCGCACAGCAATGCAAAAATTTGTCATGCGTCATGATTATTACTTTGCTGTAAATGTTATTTGACATTGTTAAAGCAATTTGAACGTAAATCGGTTCCAAGTAATGGAAATGCAACGATTAAATTGTGATATGTTTGTTTGAAATGATATGAGAGATTATTAAAGAAAATTGTAATGTTATTCATTCTTAATGTCATATTACATTAATAGAAGCACTTTAGATTTAAAACATTTCTTCTTTAATCCTTGAAGGACTTTTGTTAAAGTTACAAATTCCAATAAAGGTCTTTACTCTTAAACACTTCCCACTTGAAATAATTTCCCAGTAGTCAAACGCGATATGCTGCTAAACCAACGCTGCTGCTATTTATACCCCCGCCGAGGCAACGCTCTCATGCGCAGAACGCCGCTATACCAACGCTCGCATTACCGCTAAACAAACGCTAGCTACCGCTCGCAACCGCTTAACCAACGCTAAAGCAACGCCGACTTCAGCGGTGCACCGCTAAGCCAACGCCCCTGTTTTTGTTTTTTCCCCATTTTGTGCGCGTTGACGAGCGTTGATGAATTTTTTCCAGCAACGTCCGGGCGGTGTGACCGGGCCTTTAATAGAAAAATAGATTCTTGATCTGTTGTAATATTGAAGCGTTTTATTGCGATTATCGGCATTTTATATCCAAAGAACATGTGTACGTTTTTATAGATTTTATTACATAATATAACATATTACAATTTAACCTTTTTGGCATAGGGAGACGGCTATCTATCGATCAGAGCTTGCGTAATTGTATACCAAAGAAACAATCACATGCGCTCTGTTCGTGTCTACATAGCCTATATTTCAAATAAATTGAATTTATATCCAGGCACTAATCACAGGCGTTCTGGACGTAAAGAGCTTGAATGTATTTCATGTGGATTGAATTTATATTCCAGGTCTTAATCACGGGCACTCTGGATGGTAATACACTGCATTTTAAATGAATTAGATTGTATTCAAGGCACTAATCACAGGCGCTCTGGGCGCATTTAGATCGTATTTCAAATAAATTGAATTTATGTTTCAGGTACTAATAACAGGCGCTCTAGGAATGTATATATCAAAGGGAGAAAAAACGTTACAAAGTTCTAGCGTCAAATGCTCAGTAAGTACACATGTATAAATCCGGTCGACACGATACGACACGGGTATTCATCCGACCTCATGATACGGGTGCACGGCAGCCGTTGCTTCACAAAATTGATATAGAAAATCTATATCGTACTGATATCCCTATTAATTTTATGCTGCATATTTCTCTGGATTTTGGGAAGCTACGGCCGCCTTACAGTTGCCGTACATCAGATGTGACCGAGGCATACGGCATTGGCTATATGTATTTAGCCTCAGTCACATTTGCTCTACGGCGAGTGTACATCGACCGTAGCTTCACAAAATCGATTAGACAATGTACATTCTGCTGCTTATGCAAACATTTTATGCTGCATATTTCTCTCGATTTTGGGAAGCAACGGCCGCCGTACGGCTGTCATATATAAAATGTGATATACAAAATGAGACCGAGGCATTACTGGGACATAAGTATTTTAGAAATTCCAACTTTGAAGATATAAGTGAATATATTTAGCACAAGAAAATAATCTAAATATATTTTGCATTCTATTTTGACATTTCATATGATAGTATGGTCTTACTTTGATATTGTATTTTTTCAATTTCAGTTCATTGGATATTTTACAATATGCAACATAACCATTACAACTAGTTTATTAACAACAGTTTATGGGGCAGGATGTATCGCACATTGCGTCTCAACATCTTCTTGTGAACCGGACCACAGCGCTACATTATCGTTTAGCGCGCTAAACATTGTGCTTGGAATCCTTCTAGTTGTCTGTCAGATTTTTGGCACGTGTATGTTCTGTAGAAAAGGCAATAAAAAGAAGAAAAAGTCGATTGATATGCACGAACTTACAGGAACAACGAATGCACAGACGCAGTTTCTTGAAAAGTGAATGATATGCAGTTTTTGGGGCATGCGCAGAAGAGTTGGATTTCAAAACGAGGTTGCACGAGTCTTTGAAGAGTCTGGTTCTTATGAACAAAATAAAAATTGTGATACTCAGATACTCGGCGTTTATTAACTTGTTACAACCATGTCAAAGTACGTTTCTGGAGAGAACGTTCATCTTATGGATATATAAACCATACACACATCAAAGAACGTTGGACACGACGACACATTCTAAATCAAAAGGCATGCATAACGCCTTTCGATTCGACATGCGCTTGATTCATTCAAGCGATGTTGTTGTTCAAGTCCCAGCATGTATACTGCCCGGGGCGATGGAGCACAGTACAAATTGTAGCGCTACGAGGATATAACAGTACTTACGGCATATCAATTCTCTCCTTATTTTTTACCATCAGAAATCACTCCGGACCGAGTTTTAGAGCATGTGTATGTTTGGATTTAAATATTAACATATAACTGCAAAGAAATATACTACAAAAATTGCCAATTCACACCGGAATAGCCTGAAAACAGTAAAGGCAGATACCGTTGTCACAAATTGCAGACATAACCGTCGCTTCAATTAGATTTTCATGAACTGTATGTTTAATAGAGCACCTAGACTAAATTCCTTTGGAGCACCAATCAATCAAAGTGTGTCTATACTCATTGTACAGTTAATAATGTTCTACCATCGAAATAAGTCTTTCATTTAACCGATCAAAATGAGATACGGGACAACGGACACTGTAATTCCCATATGCCGTTGTCTTTCTACATTACTCAAATTCAGATTCCGTTGTCATTGACGATATCGAAGACGCTATATTGTGGCGATTCACGACCCATTTTGATCGAAATTGGGATTTCATATGAAACATCATCACAAGAGCTTATTATATGCGCAGAATTGGCGACGATAAAATCCCATGACATGAGGACCAAGTGATTAATAAGTTGAAGCGACGGTTATGTCCGCTATTTGTGACAACGGTATCTGACTTTACCTTTCAATTAACATGTTATCCAATGGATCCTTTCGTTTGTTATTTTAATGAAAGGGATGTGTCGACGACCATTATATTTTATTTTTTTACAGTCATCCTTAATTTATCCTTGATGAATTGAAGATCTGTTAAACAAAGGTGAACAGTGGCTAGATCTCGATACTATTTTTGTAGGACGTATGAACTTAATCAAATTCATTTACTGCTATTTAATCATTTTTTATTATGCTATTTTTAAAATAATACTATATGACTATTGATGGATTCAAAACCAGATGCAGCATATTTTATCTTGCTTAATACAAGTAAAGGAACACAAGAGATCAAGTTTCTTTTAGTAGATACTGATCTGAAACTGCTCCGAAATAAAGGACACGCTCCCGGTGTTATGCTACCGTTGTGAATGTGTCAATTGATTAATAAATAAACAAGTGAAACATGATTTTTAAGGGTGTGTGTATATTATGGTTAACCATGTACATCATGTATACTGTATAGTATATCATGTATAGTTAAGACGACAACACACTTATAAAAAACGATGTCTGGGTGATGCACTGTTGCCTGAGTCACATTTGCCCGGATTTATCGGCCAGCGTACGGCCGATTGAGTACTTTGATCAAAACTTTCTTGGGCTTATCGATGAATAGGAGGAAATATGACTCGGGCATAAGGCTGTTATTTAGCTAAATTACAGGCTGAACCAAAATTGGGATACGTGTCGAGTGTCCTTAACACTAGGGAGCTTGAAGCAACAAAATATACCTTGTGAATATATAAATAAAATCAAAAGCGAAAATATGAATTTTTAGTTTTTGTGTAACAAACTAAGATGATTCATCTTCATTAAAGGCTACGTCACACTTGCACTGGTTCCGGCCGATTAGAAGGTATTGGCCGATTTTCGAATGTACCGATCACCTGTGACTGTGACATCACCGTGAGTATGGTCACGTTAGGTACGGGTACCAAACATCGCACGCAATAAATTTTCCATGAAAATGAAACATGAACTTGAAACATGATTATTAAGGGTGTGTGTTTACCATGTACATCATGTATACTGTGTATAGTATACCATGTATTGTTAAGACGACAACACACTTATAAAAAACGATGTTTGGGTGATGCACTGATGCCGGTGTGAAAGAAATTATGGTCCCCCAGGGATTACGGTCCCCTCTTTTAAAGGCCCTTACTGGCCCCGATTGTGTATAAGTTAATAATGGAAAGAACGCAAAGAGGTCACCATATAAATCAATGTAGAGTAGGACCATAAATTAATAGGACCTCCTACCCTTTTACACTAGTGTCACACTTGCCCGGATTTATCGGCCGGGGCACGGCCGATTGAGTACTTTGATCAAAACTTTCTTGGGCTTATCGATGAATAGGAGGAAATATGACTCAGGCATAAGACTGTTATTTAGCTAAATTACAGGCTGAACCAAAATTGGGATACGTGTCGAGTGTCCTTAACACTAGGGAGCTTATAGCAACAAAATATACCTTGTGAATATATAAATAAAATCAAAAGCGAAAATATGAATTTTTTAGTTTCTGTGTAACAAAAAAAGATGATTCATCTTCATTGAAGCCTATGAAGGATATCATTTTTGTACCATAGACTGATCGGCTTGGCGCCGGATTGAAAATCTGAGCAAATATGACAAAGGCAATAATCACAAGTCATTCTTCATATACGAGGGTATATCATAAAGTTCTCATAATATCTCTCTAATTTTTTTATTTTTCAATATATTCTAATGAAATTTTTAGGAAATCTGCAGTATAGAACACTGTATTAATCTATCAAAAAATATTTGATATAACAGAAAAATTAGATAAGTAATGGTTGCCATAGTAACCGGAAATCAAGGCACCCGGGGCAAATAAAAATAATTGAGAAAATGAGCTTAATTAACCATGTTTACATAAATAAGAAACTCTCATAAATTATCAAACACATTAAAATGTTATGTTAAATATGTTGTTAAATGCTTTTACTATAAGATAAATTGATCATGTGAATTATGTGATGTCTTAGGGGATGCTTACATGCTTCATTAGATGTGATACCAGACTCTGGGAATCAAAACTTAATGATCAGAAATGACAGAGTAAGATAATGCATAGATGCAGAGATCATCAGAAAAATAAAATTCATACTAACAAAAAGTTTGGTTAAGTTTGAAAAGTCCTTTGATCATACTAAAGATGATCTAAAACAAATATGTTGCAAAGTTATCAACAAAATTACCCCCCTATTTGTGGTCTAAACATATTTAAGATAAACTAAAGGGGGAAAATCGACTTTCCTTGGAATATTTGACAAAACAGTTGTAGTACCTAACAACACTTCTAATGATGCATTACAATCATCCATTATGAGATCACACAATTCACATGACCATTATAATTGTTCAAAACAGTCAAGAACACATGGTATTTAACAATTTGATGTGTTTCATAGCATTTAAACATGGTTAGTTGGGGCTATTCTTGCACAATTTTTTATTTGCCCCGGGTGCCTTGATTTCGGGTTACTATGGCAACCATTTCTTAAATAATATTTCTGTTGTACCAAATATATTTTGATAGATTAATACAGCATTCTATACTACACATTCTGTGAAAAATTCATCAGAATATATTGAAAAATAAAAAAATTAGAGAGATATTATGAGAACTTTATGATATACCCTCGTACATACAATCAAAAATCATTATTTGTGCTTGTGTTGTTCTGAGTCTAGATGATTTGTATTAAATCCAAAATAGTTCGATGATGCATAGATCTATTCTTGACCGAGAACATTAATGATGATGGACAATATTCTCTTTTTTCACAATGAAAACATTGTAAAAAGCAAAAGAGCCAAAAGTGAAAAAGAAACAAAAAATACTTACAGTGCAATTGGTCATTAATGATGATGGACAATATTCTCTTTTTTCACAATGAAAACATTGTAAAAAGCAAAAGAGCCAAAAGTGAAAAAGAAACAAAAAAATACTTACAGTGCAATTGGTCATTAAGAGGGTGGTTGCGTAAATGATGCCAACAATAATTTTTTTTTTATATGTGAAACTTTGTTCAATTCTGAGAAAAATGAGACCAAAAAAAATTAGGGTCACCGTGCTCGAATTTTTTTTACAGCCAAAACAAAATCATACCCAAAACACTAAAAATCACTCTTAGATATCCCCTAAATTGACCTTTTCATTGTATTTCAATGGGAAAAATAATGTATTTTCTCCCCTATAATAACATTAAATAATAGTAATTTCCCAACAATAACTTTTTTTATAAATCATTAATTTAAACTTCGTTCAATTGTTAAAATAATGACCCGACAAAAATATGGGGTCACCGAGCTAATTTGTTTTCTACAGCCAAATCAAAACCATACCCCCAAAACACTCAAATCACTCTTAACATGTCCGTTAATTGCCCTTTCTATTGTAGGTAGTCTAAATGATGGCCCACAAGTGCTAGGAAACCAATTATAAATGTACACTTATGACATAGGGCTATGGATAAATTTTGTACCGTTGGAAAGCTCATAGTGCTAACTCTGGGATTCACTTGTTAAAAATTATGAAATGTGGACCTCAAGTGCCCAAATGCTCGTTTCCATAGTAACCACAAAAATAATGACAAGAAAGTGTTTTTTACACATAACTCCCCCAATATTTCTTCGATTTTGATAAAATTTATATCATATTAAAGATAAAATAGAGCTCAATTTTCAAAATTACATTTATGCAAATTAGCTCATTTGCATATTGATTGTGACGTCATAACTGAATTATTTTGTATTTTTAAATAGACGAGTATATTTTGTATTTCAATGAGAAAATCACCATACTGAACAGCAATTTAGAGTTTTTTCCAACTAATACTTTATTATGTTAAAATTTTCATTCATTTCTTCAAAAATGACACCGAAAAATATAAAGTTTATTTTGAAGTAAAAATACAGCATAATTAATGCATATAGTCAATATACCCTTTCCAACCAATATGTCCAGCCCCTTATTGTCTAAATTGCCCGAATTTGCTAGTATAGTTCCATGATCATTTAGTATCAATATTATTCTTTTGGAAAGTTTCATCATTGTAATACTATTATTAAAAACAAATGAATATTGTTATTGATGTGGAGCTTAGGCATTGTCCCAATAATCTGTTGCTATGACAACCAATAGTTATGTCTATTTACATTGTGTACATGCAGGCCCATATCCAGTGGTTCGTTGGGTTTGAGTGAATCCCCTGGCCAAAAATGTTCACCATTCTTAGCATTTTTCAAGTGATTTTTGTCATTTTGGGCCAAAATGGTCAAATGTGAACCCCCTGGAATTTTTTGATTTTTTTAGCAAAAGCAGGCTTTAGGCATGACATGTATAATAAAATCATGTACATGACAAAATATGCATAAAATATAGATTTATTTTTATCAGAATAACTACATACCACTTTTTAAAATCCCGAAAAAGAATAAAGTGTTCTGTAGTTCATAATTAAGTATTTGTAAATATGGATTTATGGATACCCTGTACATAGCTACATGTGTTTAGGTATGGTGTTTACAGGGAACATATTCTCTTGAGCTGTTGAGAGATATTGTCAATAAAACAGATGCTGTTCTTTTTGTTCTGTGTCCATTGTCTATATTATGAATGCCATAAATACCATAAATCCAAAAATAGACAGAGAAAATTAAATAAAGTCAATGTGCTCAGTAAGTTCCACTTCTGCCATGGACTCGTTTGTCAAACTCATTATTGCCTCGCTGGTCATATCCTGTCTTCTGTAGCATGTGCTTACATACACTCTAAGAGGGCTGAGTCATACAAGAATACCCCAAGACCAATAATGTGGATCATACCTGAAATTGAATATCACACAAAAGTAACAAATTGCATGTATCACTATGATATAAAAGAAATATGAATGCAGTTACTTCATTCAAGCATAACATTATCCAAATTTATAGTTACATAGTATTGGAATTCCAATCATTGTGTTAAAATTGTAATCAGGACCAAATTATGAAGGCCTATGTGTAGTTTTCTTTTTGAATTATGCAAGAAAGTTATCATTACTTAATTAGATGCAAACATTTTACTTATAATCTTATTTTGATAATAAAAATGATGAGTTAATCCCATACAGCAAAACCTGTATATCTGAACACCTGGCTGATCCAAATACCTTCAAATGCTAACACAATTTCTGGCTCCATTTTTCCTCCCATTGACTTGACTCCCATGTTAAAAACCTTGAAATCCGACAACATCCTAATTCGAACAGTGGACACTCATATTTGAAAATTTAACATGTGTTAATTGAACACTTTCCACAATTTTTACAAAACTGTTCAAATATTTTAAATTTAAGACTGATTTGATATGAAATTCTGAAAAATATGAAATGGCTTCAGATTTTGGATGCCATGAAGCCAAATGGTCAATAGAAATATTAATATTCATTGAGAATGTGTTAAAATCCACAATCTTGCGGATAGAGAAACCGAAATCAATACTTCTCCCCATCCGAATGCTTTCTGACCATTCTCAATGATGTTCAGATTGGACAGATTTTACTGTATATTACTTGTTCTCTTACCTCTTACATTCTGTACCTCTAGCTAATTTTGTATAATGTCAAATGACTGTTAGTCAGGTGTAACGTACATCCACTGAAGCCAACTTTCTGGGCACCCAAGACATCTTTGGAGACAAGGCCTGCAGAACATAAATTAATATGTTGTAAATTTACATATCTACAGGGTGGGCCAATACAAATTAGAAATTTTTTCCATTTCTTCAATTTTCTTTATTGTTGCAGCTCAATCAACAAAAATTCAGATAACTGTAAAATGATTACTGGTGAACATGTTAAATTTAAAAATGTGTATGTATTTATTTTTGGCTTGTCAATTGATCATGATCTGTATTCTACATGCAGACATGTGTCATGACGAATTTCAAATTTTCTCAGCTTGAGCCATCACTGCTGAAATCATCTTTTTAACATACAATATGTGCCCTGCAAATGGTCTCACCACACTTTTCATCAATTAAAACATATGTTGTTATCTCAGTCTAGAAGTTAACCATCTCTCCCTTGGATAATATAGCTTACTGACCTCAGCTTTTTTTCAAAACTGGCATAATATGTCTCAGACTGATTGCTCAGGTGGATAGAGAGGATGTGTTCAGGAAATCCTTGAAGTGAGTAATTAAAGCTTGAGCTTGTATATTCAATAATTATATTTACACAATATGAATTATTTTTTCAATTTCCTAAAGTATTGAAGATAATTCATGACTAAAAGTTACAATGTATTTTTTGGCCCACCTTGTATATAATCTATTTATTACAAAAACAACTAGACTTGAAGTTATTTTAGTACCAGCTGGAAAGATCACTTGATACCATATACATCAAAGTATCCATGCCATTTTGATACTTATTGCATCTTTCTGTTTAGCCAGAAACATGATATTTTGAGGAATATTCATTGTGATCTGGGCTCAATCGGATGGGAATTGAGTTACACCTGTCAAAAAGTGTCATGATTATCATATAATGATTGCCTTAATGTCTGTTCATTTATTGTATTCTGTAGTCATTGCCTACACAGGCAAAGGTGATATAACATCTATCTATATGACTTGAACAATATATTACATGTCATTTATACAATTACCTGTACTCAAAAACTTTCAGGTCATTTGACTGGACAAGTATGTACATGTATGGCCTATGTCGACAATGACGTGACAGTCATCTAAAGGATCTAACTGCATTGCATGATCATTTATCATTAATCATAATAACTTCCTCAACCTCCCAATCATTTTGACGCAACTGTTAGTGGTGGTCCATAAAACCGTTGTTTGTTGTTTTGGGTAACTTGTCATCTGAAATACATGGAAAAGTTTGAAAGTACATCAAGAATAAAATGAAACTTGAGACGTCATATGATGTTCTATGATATCTAATACCGATACAGTAAACATATAAATGTACAGTTTCGACTATACTGCAGTACAGCACATGTACAGTACGTGTAGCATGTTTATCCGTACCCTATTTCAACGCCGGGGCCATAAGACATGCCAGATAAGAAACCAAGCCCCAGGCTAGGTCTAAATGTTGTTGGACTATCCGTGCCCAAATATTTATTGATGATAACTGCATGTGATTGCCATGTACCCGCACAGGACACTTTTAATACATGTACACGAAACATGTACATGTAATTTTCCATTACAAAATTATATTTTTGCCCACATCAAAATGTACTTTTACTGTGATATCATAGGCAGTCAAATATAGTTAACATTTCATTAAGATGTCCCGACTCGTAAGATCAAGGTCATGACGAATCGATCACCCAAAATAAATTCATATGTAATTTTACCATCTACTATTAACATACCAAATTATTACATTAAATACTAAATTTCAAGGGAATTTATGAGAATTTTCAAATCAATATTACGCAAATGACAATTCCCGATCGAGAACCAGGAAGCGAAAATGATATTGAATTCGATACTTCTTACCTTCATAAACAGTTGTTATGATGTTTAATGCTACGATTCTCCAATGTTTGCCCGATTGAGACTGAAATCGTCCCGTCATCAGTGCAGCATCTTGTTTCTAGGTGGGCGATAATTGGTGAGGAGTTTCAGAGACGTTCAAAAATTACGACAATAGAATGTCTTATTTTCCCGTGGAACTAATTCTCTCACCACAAATAAATATTAAAAAGCCATTTTCATTCATTTTGAACATAAGTTTTATTTATTTGAGTAATATACATTAAAATAACAAAATCACGGCATCGAAACCGAAACCGAAAGTTAGATGCGCGAGAATTATGCGCACTCGTCCATCGGCTTTAGGAAACCACCCTCTTAATGATGAGGGACAATATTCTCTTTTTTCACAATGATAACATTGTAAAAAGCAAAAGAGCCAAAAGTGAAAAAGAAACAAAAAATACTTAGGGTGCAATTGGTCATGGTAAAGGAAACAAATATTCCGAACTATGATTTAAACGCATGGATAAGAATGTGTCACTCACATCTCACTTTCGTGCTCTGTATGCCCCTTTACCTGCTTAATAAGGCAATGAATCTTCAAACAAAATCTTAGTCAAGTAGATTAGAGTCTCTGGAACACTTTTGTAAATAGTTTTTACAAGTAATTTTGTTTGTGAATCTCAAATTTTGTCTTCCCGATTTGAGTCATAAATTACGTCAATTTTCCGTGCAAACTTTGAATGCACGTTTTTATTCCCGGCCCCGGCCGCCCAAACGTGTCAGGGACACATGGAGACTTGAATGATCTTGATTGGACATCAGGTTACAGAGAAATCGTAATTTTACTGAGTGGCTTCACGAAAAAATAAAAAGGCTTTACGCCTCGTTGAAAAAAACTCTATTACTACTATTGAAAAATGGATTCTAGCAATATCCCACATAAATCTACTTGTTGAGACTTGATCAACTTGAGTTCTTAAGAAAATGGGGATTTCAACAGAGTGCCATTCACTTAACATGGGGATGCTATTGACTTCAACCTGCATATCGACTGCATGACAAGGATATTTTTCCACACAGCCACTCGCGTTCGATTTTCTGCTTTTTTGTAGTTTATGAATAATAAGATTTGTAAAATATTATACATTTTAATTAATATGATAGTTTACGTTTTAAATAGCATTGAAATATATTTTAAAATTATCATCAAATCGTGTAACAATTGTTCATTTATTATACGTTGCTGTTCTATTTTTCGACACTAATGTATATAGTCTAATATAGCTGCATTGGCAAGCCATACATTCAATTATGAAATCATGCGTGGAACTGTATAACCATGACCTTGATTTCAAAGTACCCAAGAGCAGGATAGCAGTATTTGAACTTGTACGAGCAAGGGTCAACAAGGGGAGTGCATATCGAACGAATCTCATTTTTGGATAAAATTACCTGCTCAGTCGAGGGTACTAATACACCCTACAAATGTAAGTATATACTTTATCGATGATTATTGAATTATAGGTGATAAAGTCAAAACAGAAATGTTTGGGAGTACTTTGAATTCATAATAAACAATCAAATGACCATATTGAAACAGTTTATGTAAAAATAGAAACATTTATATTTATCCTAACTTTTGTATATTTCAGATAGTAATGTATAATGTGCAGCAAAGCTGTTGCCTTTTGTAATTTAGGGAGTTTCAGCCATGTTAGTTTTTCCGAAAATAACACGGCAGAGAAGTATCAAAATTTAAGGTCAGGGTTAGTATGTATCCAACAGACTGACTAGAAGTCAGTCTGTTATGATGTACTACTTTCCTGTGGAAATTGCAGTGAAATTTTTTGCACAAAATTATCAATTGGAGGAAACATTTTTCCAATAAAATAAACATTACAAAATTTCAAGTAAATAGTAAGGTACAATTAAATACAATAAAAAGTAACACAGCTTATTGTCTAGTGGAAATAAAGCTAGTTGAAGTAAAAATGTGCAAATTAATTTTACCCAATCGGCCATTTTGAATGGCACTTCCTATGTAAACAAATATTTGGAATTACCAAACTTTAACATAGGTGCCTTATAGTCTGAATATAATTCAGACTAAATAGGATATAGTCTAAGGTCAGGGTGCATGATGGGAAATTTTCTGCATTCCTCAATTGAGTCACATGTTATTTTTCAAACAAGAATCACTCCTTCCCCACATTGTCTATATCTTCCAGTTTTGCACAAAGAGTGCACTTATGTGCCCAGAAAAGACTTGTGAGAAGAATGTTTTGATAAAGTGTATAGAAAACAAGAAAATTCAGTGAAAAAAATCAGAAATATTTCAGAAATTTTTTTCACTGAATTTTCTCATTTTTTATACATTTTACAAAACAAACGTTCTCACAAGGCTTTTCTAGGCACATAAGTGCACTCTTTGTGCAAACTTGGAAGATGTAGACAATGTCGAGAAGGAGTTATTCTTGTTTGAAAAATAACATGTGACTCAATTGAGGAATGCAGAAAATTTCCCAACATGCACCCTGTCCTTAAGAGGACACAGATATGATAGCTAAATTACAAAACAAACTGAAATATACAAAAGTTAGGATAACTATAAATGTTTTTTTTTTACATAAACTGTTTCAATATGGTCATTTGATTGCTTATTTTTTAAACTCAAAGCACTCCCAAACATTTCTGTTTTGACTTTATCTATCACGCTCATCCCCCTAAATATTTATATTTTATACTTTGAAAACCAACGGGCTTATGGTACAGCTGGAAAATAACATTTTGGTAAATTATTGCTATACCTGCACATGTTATTTTCTGGTACACTATTAAGTATGAAGGCATATGCTAATTTCCTTGCTTTTTTCAGGAAAGTACCTTTACATTGTCTTTTTTAAGGTCAGGGTGCATGATGGGAAATTTTCTGCATCCCTCAATTGAGTCACATGTTATTTTTCAAACAAGAATCACTCCTTCCCAACATTGTCTATATCTTCCAGTTTTGCACAAAGAGTGCAATATATTGGGCACATTTTCTGAAAAATTCAAAAGATTCTGTTCAGTGACCTTTCCTACCTCCTTCTTGTAGCTATTTTTCAGTCACATTTTAATAGGGCTGAAAAGGTTATTTCATCATGTTTAGGGTCATGAAAATTGTGATGCTGGACCTGTAAATGGTATTTGGAACTAGTTGAATTGACTGGAGGTCAAAACAGAACTCTGTTATCTTGTTCAAAAAATGTCTAAAATGCAAAAAGATTGTCACTTCCTGTTTTGTCATTTCCTGTTAACTTCCATAGCACCTTAAGTATATCTGGTAAGAGGTCAATGGGAACTCCAGAAATTCTGATATTTCCCACTTTCTATATATTTTCCCAAATTTTCTTTCAAAGCTTCCAGACAACACAGGAGCTACCATTGACCTGTTTCCAGGTGTACTAAAAGTAGACAATGTGATGATACTTTCCAGAAAAAAGCAAAGAAATATACACATGCCTTCATACTAGATTTTGTACCAGAAAATAACATGTGCAGGAATGGCAATTTTTTTTACCAAAATGTTACTTTCCAGCTGAACCTTATGGTCAATGTGTATTTAAATACTGCTTCAATATGGTCATTTGATTGCTTATTTTTTAAATTCAAAGTAGTTACTAACATTTAAAATTTAACTGTATCATATCTGTGTCCTCTTATATTTTGATACTTCTCTGCCATGTTATTTTCGGAAAAATTAACATGGCTGAAACTCCCTAAATTACAAAAGGCCACAGCTTTGCTGCACATTATATATTACTATCTAAAATATACAAAAGTTAGGATAAATATAAATGTTTCTATTTTTACATAAGCTGTTTCAATATGGTCATTCGATTGCTTATTTTTTAAATTCAAAGTACTCCCAAACATTTCTGTTATGACTATACACTCACTCATGCAATGTGAACGATTTACCTAATATTTAGACCATTAAACTATTTAGACCGTATATGAAACTAAAAAAAATTCCCAAAAATGACATGCGACTCCAATGAGAACTGTATAAAAATTCCAAACGTACAGAACGACCTAATTGCTAATGTTTGGGTTTTGTTGACACACTTCCCAATTGAAATAAATTATATTCTCAATCTTTTATACATTTATATAATGATTACAGTCAGAATAAATGTTTTAGTCAATCAAACGAAAAGATAAACCATAATGAACCACAAATTCAATAGAAGGAAAATATGTTTGTCAAGCTATAAACAATCCGAAATATGTAAATATTGCACTGTGCATGATATTTGATTGCTTTTTTGCGAAAGCAAACCCACACTGTACAGATCAAGAACTGTTGTTAGTTTCAGATATATCTGGCCCCTAGACGTTACGATGTCACTGTTATGGCTCACACTTGTTGCAACTCTCTTGAATGGTAAGCATTCGGATTCCCATGCCTCAGTCATAGAACTCGTAACCTTCTTAATTGGTTGTCACGGTACAACGATCGTGCAACATTTCTCTTTCGAACGAGCACGGAATTACAATTATCTTTAACAAAATTACATTACAGAATTCATCAACCTTTGCACACTTTATGACTTAACTTGTTCAAGAAATTCACTGATTTCGCTACACACACTTAAATATTGTTGGATGTTAACAGAGGCCAATAATCTCCTACATCATTTGTAATCACATTAGATACATCGACTCCCTCGTTGAGTTCCAAAAATTGGAAAGTATATCCCACATTTATTTTTTGAATGATTACAGGTATAGATGCAAGTGGTTATGGGAATGGGAATGAGTGTGAAGCAAACCCATGCTCGAATGATGGAATATGTATCCTATGGGAAGAGGCTCCCTACTGCTTTTGCCCACCTAATTACACTGGAGACTTGTGTGATGATTATATAACAGCACAGAATGATACGTGTGACTGTCTATGGCCATCAAACACTGGCAGTGAGTACTAATCAATATGCTTAATCAACCGTGATTTATGATAACAAATGTGTTTAGTGTCTAAGCTAGTATTCGCGAATGCAACTACCGGCTACCAGATTAGCCTATCAATTTGCATAAACAAACCCGTGGGTGCTTTAATAGCCAGATCAAATCGTTATTTAGGTCAGCTATTGCTTCTGGGGCGAGAACTAACTCTCAACTAACGAGAAGCACGGCAGGTGCTATTCATATTTAAGTGAACCCGATAGCCGCTATTTGCATTCGTGAATACAAGCTGATCGAGGCTGCGTTTTTGAACGCCCGCTGAGGAAGTCATTTGTATCATATTTATGCTGCGTTTTTGAATTAACCGCGGCACTGGTGCATTGCGTACGTAATAGGTTTTAGGTAATGAGATTTCCTCCATGTAAACTGATGTTTTTTCTAAACATCGTGTTAAGTCAAACGTAGTAAAATAAAATTGACAATCAATACCTCTTACCCAAAATCATCCTGATTGTCAACTCTCCCAGCTAATTCACTTGACCTTCAACCGTTACCTTGACCAATAATCACCCTGACCAATAATTACCCTATTCAATGCACATTGGGTTCCTCCACATTCCAAGCCCGATACTTGACCAATCTTTTCCTCATTCATAAGACCTGGCAATGATACCCTTAAGGCTACCTAGGCTATTAATTTTCAACAAATTCGGTAATCTTAGCGGGTCACTCTTTATGAACACATGGACACACTTGTGGTTCAAAAGCGGTTCACTCTTTATGGACACATGGACACACTTGTGGTTCAAAAGCGGTTCACTCTTTTTGAACACATGGACACACTTGTAATTCAAAAGCCGGTCATTCTTTATGGACACATGGACACAATTGTGATTCAAAAGCGGGTCACTCTTTTTGAACACATGGACACACTTGTGATTCAAAACGGGTCACTCTTTTTGAACACATGGACACAATTGTGATTCAAAAGCGGGTCACTATTTATGGACACAATTGTGATTAAAAAGCTGGTCACTCTTTTTGAACACATGGACACACTTGTGATTCAAAAGCAGGTCACTCTTTTTGAACACATGGGCACACTTGTGATTCAAAAGCGAGTCGCTCTTTTTGAACACATGGACACAATTGTGATTCAAAAGCGGGTCACTATTTATGGACACAATTGTGATTAAAAAGCGGGTCACTCTTTTTGAACACATGGACACACTTGTAATTCAAAAGCGGGTCACTTTTTATGGACACACTTGTGATTCAAAAGCGAGTCACTCTTTTTGAACACATCGACACACTTGTGATTCAAAAGTGGGTCACTCTTTTTGAACACATTGACACACTTGTGATTCAAAAGCGGGTCAGTCTTTGTGAACACATGGACACACTTGAGATATATGTGTAACGACCCCTGGGCACGTCCGTCGGGGAGCTGAAGTTTAACGCGCCATACTAGAGGCAATGCAATGACCAGTGCGGGAATCAAACCCAGGACATTCCTCTTTTGATTCGGCCAAAGAGACTATAGCCACTACAGCAGGGACTGTAGTATCGACTTGCTATCGAAGATCATAACTTATATTTTGATATACAATATAACTTATCACAATATACTTTATCAGAGACGTGACGGTAATTGAAATCATAAACTTAATTGAGTTATGTTTAGTGTTATGGTATATTTAGGTGGTTGTAGCCCAAACCCTTGCTTCAATGAAGGGCAGTGTGTGCAGGCATATGGAAACTACAAGTGTATATGTCCCGGTAAAAGTGAAGGCGACCGCTGTCATAAAGGTGTGTAGTATAGGAACCTTTCAGATATGCCATTTTTAATTAAAACTTTAAACATCTAAAAAGTTAAAACTAAAATTGTTAAAGAGTGTAGTTGATGTGTTTAAGAAGTAATACAGAGGAAACAACTCGGATCTTAATTCGGAAAACTATCCAAAAATGAAATTTATTCTCTTTAAGGACAACGTCAATAATTGTTTTTGTCCAAATAATCCTGTTCATTTTCTTCATCGCAGCATCAAAAGAAGTTGAGTGCTGGAGCTGGAAGTACAAGCCTAAAAACTGCTCAGCACCTTCCAACCACTCCAATGGTTACGTAGTTGACCTTCGGGTGGCCAAAAGAATATCACGTACCATATGCGTCCCTAATGTCAACTATGGGTTGTACAATAATGACACGATCTGGGTCATCGATGGTTGTAGGGCAATTTTTGAAATCGATTGTGTTATCGGTGAGTGTGTATAGTAAATTTTTATAGTGTTTCAACCGTTTGCCTCATGTGGTAAATATGTGTAATTTTCATTTCATTAGCAATTCTTGTTAAGACTATTGTTCAATACTAACTTAACGTTTATTGTTGAAGTATATCTTTAATGTAGTAAGAGGAAAACGGCATTGTTAACGGAATGACCTGAATGCCTAAAAATGTCAATATGCACATGGGTTAAGTTCTACACCTGTGGGCTCAACAACTCTTGGAATACACGGGCTGTGGGAGAACGGCTGTTGAATATGTTTCAGTGGCGGATCCGGGGGGCCATGGGGCCTCCCCCACCCCCTAAGTTAGGCCCAGAAAAAAAATTGGGCCCAAAAAAGTGGGCCTTTTTGGTCATTACTAGGCCTTTTAAGGCCTTATTTTTTAATGTCAGGCCAAATTTTGAAGAAAATCGGCCTCAAAATTTCGAAATTTGGGCCCACTTTTCGGTTTTAGGGGCCCAACGTTTTTTTCTCTTTTTATTAGAATAAAGAATATTGTAAACAATAAAAAAGTTATCATTTGCCAAAACAAAATTAAGAAACACAAAGAAAATAAGTGTTTTCTATGAGATAAATTTAATTAAATCAAGTTTACAAAGGGGAGAATAAGAAGGTGCATTTTTAGGTATTCTTAGTAATGTATACCCCCATATGCACTGGATCACTTGGAAATTGCACTGGCTGGGAATTTGTTTTGTTTTGCGATAAATCAGAGTCCCTCCTAGCATTATATAAAGGGAGACTGATAAATTAGAGTGACATTATACATATTTAACAATTTATAGATGCTTGTATTGGCGTGACCTGCACACCTCCCTTAATGTGCCAGAACAATTATGACAGTTATGCCTGCATCCAAAATGGTAAGTAACATATTTATATTCTTTGTGTACCTATATTATAGTTCAATTTTTATGGCTTGTATGTCTTGCATGTCTTGCCTAGGCATGGCGTCTTTGGATTTCCTCTGTATTTACATTAAAACCTTACCCTTTGCATTCGTTCGACTACACTTCTTCTTCTCTCCAGGGTATTAAAATCTATACAAGTTCATTAAAATATGCGATGCCAAGAAAATCTCTAGTTTTACATTATGCGTTTAAAAATACACAATAGTGCAGTTTTCATTGAGTTTTATAGTCTGCTGCCATTACATTATTCAATATTCATCAAACATCATACACTACGTTCAATACTTTTATATCTTATATTTGTGACTCTTATTTTCATATAAATTTTATCCTACAGAAAACCCATGCACTGACACACCCTGTTTGAATGGAGCTACCTGTGATAATTATGAATCTATGAAGTACAACTGCACATGTCCTACTGGCTACTACGGCGACAACTGTGAATTCTGTAAGCGATCAAATCATGTTAGAAACGGCTATATTATGTCGCCACCGGAAGTGGTCTAGTCATCACCATGACAACTGTTCAACTATGACCTTGAGTTCGTTATTGGTTGTATAACGGAATACACTTAAGTGAAATAGCGTGTTGTGATTGGCTGAAATCGGACACACCTTGCCTAGCTACGTGTGAATATACATTATATATATCAGAATCATTAAACTGCCAAGTCAAAGCAATATATTTTCATAATAGAATAGTATCACTGAATTATTTATTAACTGCACAATCCATTAAATTCTTGTTCCAGTCGATTATTGTGGGGAGCTTGCCCCATGTGAAAATGGTGCCACGTGTGCAAATGATGAAAATGACGAAAGTGGCTACAACTGTACTTGTCCCGAATGGTTTGAGGGCCAGAATTGTAGTGATGGTAAGTTCATCGATCGTTTGATTGTTTCATTGTTAATTTGAGATTTGAATATTTAAGGAGACAAGACACGTGTATGTCATTGTTTCGTTCAGTGTATATGACTGTTAATATTTTTACAGCAATCCCCAACGGTTGCGATTCCAGTCCATGTCAGAACAATGCCACTTGCATCCCCTACCCTGGGCTTGTCTATAACTGCACTTGCTTGGAGGGCTTCACTGGAGATGATTGTGAAAGTGGTTAGTAGATTCCCTTCCTGGTCAATCATGTTACCGTTATGATATAATGTGATCATAACTTAATATGTAATATGAGCAGGTTGTAATATCACTTCCGTAAGGGGGCAAACATAAAAGTATAGTCGATAACGGCACAAGGCAATAAAGTTAAATATTGTTTAACAACCTGAATATGATAGGTCATGGCGTATAAAGTTGTTTTGGAATATTTTTTAAAAAGTGACTGGTCTTTAATTTTCAAATATTGGAATTTCCAACCATGTATGCATCAATACTTTATATCAACAAATACAACTTCATACTCTTTTCTGCACCAGTGACTTTATTTTCTGATTCTTCAACTAATCTTAATTTTTATCGTACCTAAAAAAGTACGATATTCCCGTCAGCTTGTTGAGCGGCGGGAGGCGTCTCAGTTTTCTTGTCATCGCGATTGCTGGAAAACCACTTAACGCTTGGGTTCAAATTTTCACACCTGTTACATGATAAGAAGTTCTAGATCTGATTAAACTTTGGGTAAATCTTGTCATTGCGATTTAAGAAAAATCACTTAACGGATATACCTTAATTTTTTTGTTACATGGTAAGAAGTTCTATAGCTGTTTAACTTTTCGGTGGCCATCTTGCATTCTAGCGGTAATTTTGGAAGTTTTTAGATAAATCCTATCACGATTCCAGGAAAACCACTTTACCGAATAACATCAAAGTTTTACCCCTCTTACATACATGGTAAGGACTGCTGTGTTTTTTTGGTACGATATTATTCACCCCGTGCCTTGTTAAAAAAGATAAGGATGCGTGCTATCCATTGACGTAAATGATTGCTAACCGGTAATAATATATATTTGTGATCGATACTACAACAAACAAAAGTGAAATAAGTTCATGATTTTTCGAACAAAACTTCTCAAAATCATATTTTTTGAAATTTTGAATTAAAAACGTTTCCCATGAAAACATTGGGTCAAACTCAAAATCATATTTTTGAAATTTTGAATTAAAAACGTTTCACATGAAAACATTGGGTCAAACTCAAAATCATATTTTTGAAATTTTGAATTAAAAACGTTTCACATGAAAACATTTGGTCAAACTCAAAATCATATTTTTGAAATTTTGAATTAAAAACGTTTCACATGAAAACATTGGGTCAAACTCAAAATCATATTTTTGAAATTTTGAATTAAAAACGTTTCACATGAAAACATGTGCCAAAGAGGTTTTAACATTTCCGCATGGCCTTCAAGTAAACTCGTGCTTAAACATAAAACATTTGTTAAAAACTACATTACAGTTGCCGGATTCTCTTTGAATATCGTTGGTGTAGCCCCAACAAAGAAGGCGCTTCTTAAAGTGTATGATTCAGCAACTGGTTGGTCGTCATCATCCAACTTCGATATAGGTAAGCTTTTTGAGGTTCCTGTATTTATTAAATTGATGGAGACGTTAAGCTTGTGTATAAAATCGAAACGTCAACCTGTATGTTTAAATTGCTCTAAACGAATGCATGTAGTTTTCTCAAATAAATACTCATCCGATTAGTGTTTACTTAGTCCGTTACATCTCCAGTCAACATTCAAAATTGTTACACGATACAAACATATGTAATATTCCGCATTGAATATAGCATATTCACGTGCGGTGAATGCCAGATTCACCTGCGGTATATGGCATCCACTATAACCAATGAGAACGCGATAAATACATTTATATATCTAAAGATTTAAGCTGTTCCCTTCCTAACCAAACCTTGTTTGATTTTTTTATTCAAATGATCATTGGGAGAACAATGCTTAACTTCCACATTGAAATAGGTATTCCAGCAGGCCTAAGAAAATATTGCTAGAAAAAGGATCCTACACCTAAGGGCTACAAGTGGATGTATTACCAAAGAATAAAATATGAAGAATTCATATAGTTTATTTCGAGTGATTATTTAGTGTCAAGTTTTGTCTCTAGTGACAGTATATGGTAATGAATATTATCTCATCAAGTGACCTAAACTACAGCAGCTAAAATAAGCATACCGAAATATTATAATTCGGTTTGATTTGGAGAAAGGGATTATAAGGGATAAGCAATTTATTTAAAGGACAATTGTTATCTTACAATTTAGCTCAATTCTTGAATTTGAAGATCTATCCCTATATTGTTTAATGTGCATTATAATAGATCGATGTGATGGTAAGAACAAGTATGTGTTATGTTCGATTTTACCTTTTTGTCATTATTGCTAAGGAATACAATAATACCATTCCAATTAATGATAACTCACTTATTGTATTACTTGTGCTTGATACATATGCTGGAAGATATGCTTTGAAAATTTGTAAACCATTACCAAAACTATGGGTACCCTGTAGTATTGAAAGGCACGTCAAAAATGAATATCTTCGATCTATTTTTACAGGTTTTTATGATTATTTCATATTTTCTATATTTTGCGTAAACAGGACGGTGAATCTTCTCAATTTTTTCGAACAATTTATCTTACTATCATTCATTATATCTGTCAATTTCAAGAAAATCGCCTCGCTACTTTGAAAGTAATTCAAACTTTAATTCATTTTCCCCATTGAGCTCCATTATAAAAACTTTAGAACTCTACGTGGTGAAAAGCTGCATATTGAGTAGTTATACTTAATGTTATAGTATTAAAAAATCAAAACAAAAAGGAATAAAGAAAAAATGCCACGGAGAAGTCTATTTAGCATTTTTATGTCACGTTTAATGTGTAGACCAATGAGACCAATGGGAATATGACAGTGATACAATTATAGTATTTATTGTAAACATTCTCAATCCCGTTATAACAATGAAAAATTCATAAAAATCAAGACTGTTTATATTTGTAGATTCTACCTCATTTCAAAAAGTTGTCTTTGTGCCTGAGATTGGAACATTTACTTTGTTGTTGTACGTTGACGATGATTCTGATGGATTGTTTTTAACCTCAGGTAAGAATATTTTAAAATCACTTGTCCAAAACTGTGAGAGAACGGATGAACTTTCTTGATACAAGTTTTTGTTTTTTTGATTTAAACCAACCTCTTCCACCGAAAGCTCAGACAAAGATCTAGAATGAATAAACACTAGCAGTTTTGGACACAAAGTTGGGCATAATTGTCTACGTAGGTTTGAAAATGTTTTAGTTTGGAAAGGATTTTTGAATATCAAGTCATACAATAAGTCGCTTACTTTTGTGACATTGACGTACTTTGTCCACGTTAAAGTGACATTCATTGGTAAAATACTAAATATATCGATTACAACTTCATTTAACAACCACATTTCGAATGGAAAGCATTTTTTAAATCTTGACTATATTTTCTGGCTTTGTGCCAAATTTTAACCTTGTTGAGCTCCTTGCTGAGCTCCTTGTTAAGCTCCTTGTTGAGCTCCTTGTTGAGCTCCTTGTTGAGCTGCTTGCTGAGCTCCTTGTTGAACTCCTTGCTGAGCTCCTTGTTTAGCTCCTTGCTGAGCTCCTTGTTTAGCTCCTTGTTTAGCTCCTTGTTGAGCTCCTTGTTGAGCTGCTTGCTGAGCTCCTTGTTGAGCTCCCTGTTGAGCTCCCTGTGTTCATTCATTTAAACAGATCTAGAGAAAGCAACATACAAATAAGTCTGTTCTCCCCTTAACTTTTTTTTATTTTGTTAGGTATTATACTTTCCCATATATCATTCTAAAGTTTATGGAAAATGCTGATCACTTTTAAGAAATCAATAATGAACTCTTCCTTATAAAATTGCTACAATGTTTCTTGAAAGGATGCGGTTGACCATTGGTTGCGTCAAAAAGAGTACAATTGAATGAACCGTTAAACATTGATACTGCAATTATTATGGACAGGGTCGAAAAATTAATCAAATATCAACCAGAGGAGAAACTTCATAGCAATGAAATAATGCTCAAATGTATCAAGAAAGCTCTTGAAAGTGCAACACGTCTGTTAGTGAACATTTTGGAATTGTCTCCTTGTAGAATTTAGGCTGTCCAAGCTGCTTGGAGAACATACGAACTATTAAAAATGTGAAATATGAACACCACTAAAAATGCTTTTGGAATTTTACCAATCTCTCTGAAATTTAGTGTGTGATCAGGAAATTAAATTCCCTTTAAAATGATATATAAAAAAATGTTATTTCTAAATCTAAAAAGTTAAGGAGAGAACAGCCTTATTTGACGCCCTGTGCTCGGCTTCCGTCCAAGTAACTTGTTGTGGAACAGTCATGTGAAATTTAAGCACTCTCGGGAATTTAGGGGATGGTGAGAAACAGTATTTTTATAAGCTATGAGTTGATATCGTCCGAACTGACGCGATTTTTTAACTTTCATTAAAAAGTGCAATGAATGTTCTCAATTTCAGGTATAGACCAGGGTGTGAAAAAAACATTTACAATTTCAACAATAGTTGCGGCGCAAGCCCCTATATTTATTTTGAATGCGAATTTGGTAACACTGTACGAGTGCTTTGTAACGTTGGACTCGGTCACCGTACCAACAGCATTGGCACCGGGATCAAACGCAGGATTATACTGTTTCTTCTATCCAGAGTTATGTGGCGTCCCGTGTGTTGACAATTACGTACTTGTAACGCAACAAATGGCCACGTGCAGTGGTTCATCGACTATCACCTGCTCGTCCGATGCCGTGAGCGATAACGCTGTTGTTTGGCCAGGTGGAAGATGTGACATGGGCTTAGTAATACCAAATGAAGAATATCGTATAATCTGTGATCTAAGTCTTGACACGGCACTGGCGACCGGAGATCCGATTGATGTGTTGAATAATTCAAACACAACGACCTCGGTCCTTTTCATGATGACCGCTTTTGGTGGAAATTGCCCAATAATTAACGACAATGGAGGCTCGCCTGCCAATGATATCAATGACGGAATTCCCTTCTCTCAAACTTGTAATTGATTTGAGGGCGGAAAATAATTGCAGTTGAACATGAATTCTTTATTGGAAGCATCTTTAGTACCGTTCCATAGATTGTTCTTAAGTACCGTTCAATAGATTGTTTATATGAAGAGATTGTTCTTTAGTACCGTTCCATAGTTTGTTTATATGAAGAGATTGTTTAGCCATTAATCTGGAATTAATATCCAATGATTACTATCAAATAAACAATTAATCGAAAGAAAACCAAGATTTGGGGAATTTAAAAGTTTTTAAATAGTAAAAATTAGGATCACACTTAAAATTCAATTCAGAACATGTTTATTAAAAGAAAATAATGAAACGGCGAAAAGTTCAAAAGAAAGTCTGTCTCATAAAAATACATGTTTCATTTTATAATGTCATTTTAAAACTGTCCTTAACAAACCTGGTGTTAAAATGTAAGTCGAAGGCATCATTAACATGTAAAAGGAATGAAATATACCATCTAGTTCGCTGCGTTTTGTCACTTGTAATATAGAAGTCATATTTGTTCATGTTTTGTTTTTGAAATTGTTATTATGCATATGTTTTATAAATTTTACGTGTAAGAGTGTTGTAGAATTGTATATTGAAAATTTAATTGTATTACAGTTTTTTGTGTAAGATTGTTGTAGTATTGTATAATGTAATATTATTACCGTTTTTGTGTATGATTGTTGTAGTATTGTATAGAAAGTAATTGTATTACCGTTTTTGTGCAAGATTGATGTAAATGTATAGAAATGTAATTGTATTACAGTTTTTGTGTAAGATTCTTGTAGTATTGTATAGATTACCGTTTTTGTGTAAGATTATTGTAGCATTGTATAAAATTGTAATTGTATTACCGTTTTTCGTATTTGTCGGTATGTTGTTTTATACCTTTCCGTTTGGTTTAATTACTCTAATTAGAGTCAAGTGATATTTCGATAGGTGATTAGCTCAATATTTATTGTTGTCCAACTATGAACCAATTTTCCAAATATGGTATTAACATCAACCAATCAACCATTATGTAACTGTAGCACCAGTGTTATATATATTTTATAATTGGTAAACTTAATTATTAGTATTTGGAGGTTTTGTTTATAAAATGTTATTTGTTATATATAGAAAGTGTTATGAAATCGTGAATATATTTTAAAATTAAAATGTTCTGTTTTGTTTTGATTTTAGGTAAGTTCATTTTAGAAGTTCAACTACGTATTTCAAAATTTAAAAAATGCTTAGCTTTGTTTGTATATCACCACTATACCTTGCATTTGGTGTTCATGAGCAACCCATTAGGCTTATTAGTAACGATTATGTATTCGTTTTTATTTGTCTGTTCCTTATAAATGGTTTATCGGTTGAAAGTTAGATGTTAATAAGGTACTTTCAAAAATTTACTAAACAATTCAATAAGACAAACAAAGTATCTTATGCATTTCTAGGTGTTAGGTATAGTAGTGTGATGACACATCTACAGGGTGTTTCATAATGACTGCCCCCTTCCCTCCCATCAATCACTAATCCTCAGTAGCATATCCCCCATGCCATATCATAAGAAAGCTTCTGGACTTATTGAACCAACTTAAAACTCAACAGTGTTTATTATGTCACCACCAAAAGTGGTGACATATTGTTATGGTCTCCGTTTTTTTGCGACGGCGGTTGGTGGTTGGAGGTTGGCGTCCGGCGGTTGGAGGTTGGCGTCCGGCGTCTGTAACAATTTATTACAACTTCCTATAACTTAACAAATACTGTTTAGACTGACTTCAATTTTTTTCTAAATCATCTACATGTTCTCAGAAGTTCAAATCTGACTTTAGATCTGACATTTGACCTTCAATGACCTTCTCAAGGTCAAAAATGTCTTTTTTTCAACTTGCTTCACATTGACTAAATTTTTTTTCAAAATCATCAACATGTTCTCAGAAATTCAAATCTGACTTTAGATTTGACTTTAGATTTGACATTTGACCTTCAAATCTGACTTTAGATTTGACATTTGACCTACTCAAGGTAAAAAAAAGGTCAAAAAGGTCTGTTTTCAACTTGCTTCAAATTGACTAAATTTTTTTTCCAGTATCATCTACGTGTTCTCAGAAATTCAAATCTGACTTAAGATTTGACTTAACATTTGACATTTGACCTTCAATGACCACCAAAAGTGATGACATATTGTTATGGTCTCCGTTTTTTGCGACGGCGGTTGGTGGTTTGAGGTTGGCGTCCGGCGGTTGGTGGTTGGAGGTTGGCGTCCGGCATCTGTAACAATTTCTTACAACTTCCTATAACTTAACAAATACTGTTTAGACTGACTTCAATTTTTTTCTAAATCATCTACATGTTCTCAGAAGTTCAAATCCGACTTTAGATTTGACATTTGACCTTCAATGACCTTCTCAAGGTCAAAAAGGTCTTTTTTCAACTTGCTTCACATTGACTAAATTTTTTTTCAAAATCATCTACATGTTCTCAGAAATTCAAATCTGACTTTAGATTTGACTTTAGATTTGACATCTGACCTTCAAATCTGACCTTCAAATCTGACTTTAGATTTGACATTTGACCTTCTCAAGGTCAAAAAAGGTCAAAAAGGTCTGTTTTCAACTTGCTTCAAATTGACTAAATTTTTTTTTCAAAATCATCTACGTGTTCTCAGAAATTCAAATCTGACTTAAGATTTGACTTAAGATTTGACATTTGACCTTCAATGACCTTCTCAAGGTCAAAAAAGGTAAAAAAGGTCTGTTTTCAACTTGCTTCAAATTGACTAAAAAATTTTTTCAAAATCATCTACGTGTTCTCAGAAATTCAAATCTGACTTTAGATTTGACTTAAGATTTCTCAGAAATTCAAATATGACTTTAGATTTGACTTTAGATTTGACATTTGACCTTCAATGACCTTCTCAAGGTCAAAAAAGGTCAAAAAGGTCTTTTTTCAACTTGCTTCAAATTGACTAATTTTTTTTTTCAAAATCATCTACATGTTCTCAGAAATTCAAATCTGACTTTAGATTTGACCTTTGATGACCTTCTCAAGGTCAAAAAAGGTCAAAAAGGTCTGTTTTCAACTTGCTTCAAATTGACCAAATTTTTTTTTCAAAATCATCTACATCTTTTCAGAAGTTCAAATTTGACTTTACAAGTTCTCAGAAATTCAAATCTGACTTAAGTTTGAACTCATAATATTGTCAGCAACTAGGTGGTGACATTTTGTCATGTTAATGCCTTGTTACATCTTGCTAGATCACTACAAAAGGTACCCATTTTACATTTAGCATATAATCTGAAAGTCCCATTTCTAGGAAAAGCCACATGGTCTGCAAATAGCTAACCATGCCTTAATATACCGCATTCCAGTATCTATACACTATTGAACGGTTAATCCTAAATCACATGGCTCTAATTCAATTCTTGATTTGTGTGCCTAATATTAGCATGACTGCTCTTTGGGAACATAGTTTGAACTTAAGTTTGGAAGTCACTCACCCCTCAATTTGCATGGCTTGTGGCTACTCTTTCCGATGGAATTAAATAGATGAGCAGATCACTCGAATGGAGAGGCCGTCGTTATGAAACGCCCTGTATATTATACATTCTTATAAAGATATACCAATTCAATCAATCATGCCAACTACAGTATTGGTACTTAATCTATTCAATCTATTATTTTTTTTCATCTGAATTAGAACATATAATAAGCTCAATGTAGAACAAGGTATTAAAATGCAACATGGTATCACCTCACTGGTCAGTATCAAGCGAAGATTACGGAAGATTAAGATTCTTTTCCTCCAAAGCAACTAGAAATATATGATATGGTAAAGGTCATAAAACCAAAATCCCAGTATACTATATACTAAGTTATTCCATTATAACATGTTTTCTCCGGGAAAATAACGGGAAATAAATTGATATTCAAAAAATCCCGTATCAGATCCCGCATCAGCCAAAATCCCGTATCGGATCGCGTGTCAGAACTATCAGAAAAATTCATGAGACTCAATAATAAATATTGTGTTATTAGTATAATAAATTATTTCTATTTAAAAATTTGTTAATAAAAGTTGAAAATGTCATTCGATAAATTAGATTCTATCATTAAATGCCACCATCATTGGGTGAAGCATAAAAAACAAGTTTCAGAAAAATATTAAGTAATATACATGTATATGTTATTGATGGTCGTAATGGAATATGTATTTTTCCTCGAGAAAATATGACATTGGCCTCGGAAAATATCATATTTACACTCGAGCTGTCATCCTCGGTCAATATGATATATTCCTTGGTCAATATCATATTTTACCTCGAAATAGAATTCATATTTGATCCCTCCCATTAAAAACCTCTATATAAACAAAAAAAACAAAATTGTCTGGTAGCAATGATTACTTAATTTCAATGCGTTAATAAGTTTCCACATTGGAAAGTATGGATCAAAAAACTAATTAAAAAGAGAAGCATGAATATGAAATAATTTATGTCTGAGTTGATATTTAAACTATCGCACATATGTTTTAATGCCTTCATTTAAATCTCCTAAAAATGATATTTCGTATTAAGCGTAAGCTCGGTACATTTGTGACTTTTCAATAATTTTGTATTGGATAACAACTGGCTTCTGACAATATTTAGGAAAACGTATTAATGAACTGCTCATTGCATAAGCTTGTTGATTTGTTTTTATTTTAGCAGCTTCAAAATTAATTATAATAAATTTTCTGAAATTTTACAATTTTCTAATAAAATGACATGCTCCAGCACCTTACCATTTAAACATAACATAGAAGGTTTGTGATATTAAGGACATTTGCATGATCATTGATAAGAATGATTGTCAATTAGATAAAAACTGCAAATCATACGACTATTAGTAGAGCTCGGCATTTACACGAACATTAACACAATACTATGTAAGTTATTGGATGATTTGAAGTACAATACAGGATATATTGCGCTCGAGAAATTCTGAATTGGTACGAAACGAAGTCGAGTGCCAATACAGAATATCTAGTTTTTACTGTGTGATCTTAGGCCAATACATTTTACTTAGGAGATAATCCTTTGGAAATATTCTGACTTTCTGGGAGATTGTCCCCTCCGTACCCATATTTTCTGTATTGTTACAGAGGTGATCAATCCCATACCAATACAAGGCGAGGGGGCCATCTCAGTAGCAATACAGATTGGTACAGCACGAGAACTGACCAATCAGAGGACTTTATTTTAAAGATCATACGATAAATTAAAATATGACGCGTTGACTCTTGGCAGATTTGACTCTAATAATCCCGGGTTTCTCATCTTTTAGACAGGTTCCAATTCAAATAATTCAAGTTTTTGAGGCATTTTTTAGAAAAAGCAACAGACCTATTTTTACTAGATCAGTTTTTCATGCTGATAAAGATATTAAAAGATGACAGCTCAACGGGGTGGTCATGACACTAAATTTTGGCA